GTCATACTTGTTCTCCTCATGTTTGGGCGGTAATATTGGCAAGATTGTACGGGTGTAGCTTCTGATGTTACTAGGAGATACAATTGCACAACAAACTCCCTGATCCTCTAGCTATTACAATCTTTCCACTTCTGAAATGCTCCCTGAGCATTAAGTGCACGAGTGTTTGTAGTTGTATCATTTGGGGCTGGGCTCCACAACTCTGCACTTTGATTGGTTGTGTTTTTCTGGAGTGGTCTCCTCCACCTGTTGCAAACAGAAGTTGCCTTAATGAAGGGTAAAAGCTACACTTATCTGTGAGTATAAGGACAAATGTTTATAGATTGTTGTTAGGGGTCATGATGGTTTAATAAACTACAGGTTGTAGATCCAATATCCTTGACATCACTAGTACTGAGTTTCATAGATTTCCTGTAGCAATCATGATTTCCCTCTTGTTGAGTAGGTCTTAAGTCCAATTAAAGAGCTGTTGGTTACTGCTAAGGTATGTGTGCCACTAATATACCTTCAGGGTTAAAAAATTTGTACATTTTTCAATTGAGTTCATCTTTTGCGTTAACTTTAAGAGTTCTCTTGTTCATTTTGCTTAGCAGTTCTTTATCAAGATATGTATTTGAAAATCTTCCAGTCTGTGTTATTGTGTTTTGAATATTATGATCAAATGACTTTACAGATGACCCAACCCACAGGTTCAGTTATTCGTGGGGATCGAGGGGGACCTCACCTGAAAGGAACATGGGCGAGAGAGAGAACGAGACCAAGCAAATGGCTACTTGTCAAGGTCTACTTTAATGCAGAAGCGGCTTACAAGATATACTCTAAGCAAAGGAGGAAGGGGGACAAAGAACAGGATGGGGACTCTATCAACTATCGATAGATAAGGTCAGTCATCCAGTGGAGCATTCTGCAGTTTTTCCTGGAATGTCCCGGGGCAACAGTTCTCTAAGAACAGGAAATTCTTTCTTAGCTGAAGGTCAGATTCTCCCAAAAGAGACAGTTTCTCATTAAGGCAATTCATAAAGCAACTTTGTTAGCTGGGATGGTGGTCCAGGGTCACCAACATACAGAGACAAAAAATACTTTGAAAAAAATTCTATGATTGTAAATGTTTACAACTGAACCTCAAAAAGCACACACACACAAAAAGCCCTAATTCAAATCTCACATTATTTCAGTATTAACTTAAGCAGAGTTAACTGGAGTGCCTACAGTTCCCTTATATTAAGAGATGAAATTTTTTTAGGGTTGGAGCCACTTCTTCATATCACAAATAGAGCTGACTGCAACTTGTGATTTCTTTTAAAATACAAGCCTGGCTAAAGTGGGACAAGAACTATTTCTAACCAGAAAACAGAACTGGTATAATATATGTCATAATAAAATAGTCTTGGACCAAAGCCTTCCTCAGATTAGAAATAAACTTTATTGTAGCTTGCTATTGAACTCTGATGCCTCTGAGAAAACTTTAATTCTGACTACAAAGAGAAAGTGCAACCAGTAACCTTAGTTAATGGATGACTGGTACATGATCTTAACACTGTATCACCAAAAACCATGACGAATGATGAAACCAAATACTCTTACCGTAATCAATTGTAAACCTCTTGGAAATATAGCATGACCACAGCAAACCAGAAAACACAGGAATCAACAGTGTTAGTGGCAGTTCTGCATTCACGGAACCCATTTCTAGCTACTAGTTTAAGCTAAAAGGAATTCATTACAGGACAGCCATCTTTGAGAGGCCCAAAGATCAGCTTTGGGATCAGCTTCCAAGAGTATCTCTTAAAACTACACTGCAGGACTGAGCTTCTGGCCCATTACTGGTCAGAAAACTGTGGAATCAACGATCCAGTACAACTGACGGTTCCATGCCAGGCCATCCGAGTCACCACATTCACAGCCACAGAATGCAGGAGCTGTGCCTTGTCCACACATTCGAGAAGCACAAGATTCCACAGAGCCCTTGCAGGAAAACCAACTCTGCTTGCCAGCAAAATAACAGAGTCAATACAAGTCAGCCTGTATCTCGGGGTTCTGCAGGTTTCCAGCCTCAGGAATTTCAGACGGCACAATAAGGGGCTAACCATTGAACTGATCATGGGGTTCCCAATGGAGGAATTAGAGAGAAGACTGAAAGAGCTGAAAGAGTTTGCAGTCCCATGAGGAGAGCAATAATACCAACCAACCAGAGCTCCCAGGGTCTAAACCACCAGCCTGGAAGCACATAGGGAGGGACTCATGGCTTCAGATGTATATGTAGGGGAGGATGGCCTTGTCGGGCATAGGTGGTAAAGGAAGTCCTTGGTCCCATGAAGGCTGGATGCCCCAGTGTGGGGGAATTCGAGGGTGGGGAGGTGGAGGGGGGGACATCCTCATAGAAGCAAGAGGAGGGGGGATGGGATAGGGGTTTCTGGGTAGGGGGTAGTGGGGAAAGGGGATAACACTGAAATGTAAATAAAATATCCAATAAAAATATTATTAAAGCAAAAAAAAATGCCAAACAAGGTGAAAGTGTTGCTCCCCTATGGAGAGGAGAGAAGTAAGAATGGGACCCTCCAAGGAAAGTTTAGACATGACTTCAGAACTCCAAACATGGACTCTGTGGACATAGACAAGTACTGGAAAGAGTCCCAAAGCAGAACAGTCACCAGAGTGACTCAGCCCTTCAGCATCAAATCTGTCAGAAGCCTGGCCCCCAACTCTCCAGACTAGAAGGCTGGGTACAAGCACTGGGCCAGGGGACCATGCTCAAGGAATAGGAAACTATGCTCTGAAAATCTTGAAAGGCGGGTCAAGACTCCCTCTTCTAAAATCCTAAGAGCCAGGCAGGGATGTAGCTCAGTGCTTCCTTCGCATGCACAAGGCCCAGAGTTTGATCCCCAGCACCAAATCTACAGGGCATGGTGGGATAAATCTATAATCCCAATGTCCAGCAAGTAAAGACAGGAGAAGCGGACGTTCAAGGTCATCCTAAGCAACTTAGCAAGCTTGAGGCCAGTCTGGACTACATGAGAACCTCTCTCAAAAGTAATAGTAAAAATAAAAACAGGGCCAGTCTGGGAATATAGTTTTGGGGATAAAATGTATACATATCATGTCTAAAGACCTTGATTCAATGCCCAGGATCAAAAACATAAAAATTTAAAAAAAAAATTAAAAACCAAGTACAGCCAGACATGGTAGCTCATGCCTTTAATCACAGGAATTGGGAGGCAGAAGGCAGAATGGGGGTGGGGGGTTCTCTATGAGTTAGCCAGAACAGGTAAGGTACAGAGTGATACCCTGTCATCCCTCCCCTGCAAAAAAGAGCAAGTAAGCATGAGAGTGTGCACAAGTCACAAAGGAAGAAATTCCCTAGGTGGACACATATAAACCCAAGCTTAATCAGCAATCAGACCAAATTAATCTAAAACAAATATCTAATATTAGATTAACTCACAAATCTGCCACCAAGAGATGTTAGGAGTATAAACAAGTATGGTTAGTTTGGAGAGAGATGGGGCAATATCCAGAAAAACTGAAATGTACGTACACTAATAGATCTCACACCAGGAACTGTGTACAACAGTGGAAGAAAATGAAGTTATTCTCAAGAGTTGCAACAGACAAACCTGGAGAAAAGTCAGCATTCATATGCACACACACAAAAAAAATCTTCTGAAGAAAAGCTGAGAAAGAACAGCTATTTCACTTTACTTCTTGTATTTCAAAGATATTTTAAGGATGCATGTGAAAATAACAGTAACAAGTTCTCAAGGCACATGGCACTTTAAAAACTATTTCTGTATGTTTGTGCACGTGTGTGCACATATGCTGCCATGCCCTTGGAGGCCAGAGAACTCTAAGAACAGGCTTTCTCCTTCCACTGTGTGAGTTCTAGGGACCTGATCCATGTGCTCAGGTTTGGCAGCACCTGCCTTTTACCTGCAGAGCCTTCTTGCCATCTTCAATTCTGTAATTGTGGATGCTGCCAGAGGACAGAAGATTTAAATCCCAGGAACTGGAGTTACCACGTTTGTGAATCACATGCTGTGGGTACTGGGGACCAAATTCCAGTCCTCTGAGAGTTAATACTCTTAATGGCAGAACCATCTCTCCAGCCCCCAACATTTTTTAAAGATTGTGATTTGATGTATGTTATTTTTGCCTGTATGTATGAACACAACAGTTCAGTGACATTGAAGTGGGAAGAGTAATGACCCCCTGGAGTTGTGAGCCACCAAAGGTGTAGGAAACCAAACATTTGTCTTCTGCAAATGCAGTACAAGGTCTCAACCACTGAGCACTTCTCCAGTCCTCCAAACTATTGTCTTTGCTTCGTTTTATTGTTTTTCGAGGCTAGGTTTCTTTATGTAGCTCTGGCTGTCCTGGAACTCTTTGTAGAACAGGCCAGCCTCTCAGAGATCTGCCGGCTTCTGCCTCCAGAGTGCTGGGACAGCCCAGTCCAAACTATAGTTTAAATGAATGAAAGTGACCACAGTAAACTTTATACATGTATAAAATCTTCAAATAAAAATTTAAAGTAATAATCTAAGCTGGGCATGATGCCACAAGCCTTTAGTCTCAGCACTCAGGAGACAGAAGCAGGTGCCAGATGACTGTGGATTACTGGCCAGCCTGGTCTACATAGTAAATTCCAAGACAGCCAGGAATACATAGTGAGACTCTGTATAACAAAATTAAGCAATTAAAAGTAGCCATAATCTTATAGATGGGTATTTACATTTCAGCTGCTTAAAAAACAATAAGATTTAGTAAATACTTTTTTTTGCAAGTGCTTACAAGTTTAAAATGGAAGAAACATTCCAAATGTCATTAAAATAAATCAGTCACCTTAGTACAAAATAACTGACGATGCTCAGTATTAGGATAGCCGATTAAAGTAAACACAAAATGTTCAGAAGTTGAAAAATGGATGCTAATGGTTGCTTAAAAGTTCCAGACAGTCCCGCAAGCATTTCACCCCAAACTCCACCCAGTGTCAGACAAAGGCGCATGCGCAGCAAGTCCGACGCGTGCGTACTCAACGCTCGCCCATAGGAAGCGGAAGGGAAAGATGACGGCGCCGAGTGTCCCCACGCCGTTGTACGGACACGTGGGTCGCGGAGCCTTCAGCGACGTGTACGAGCCGGCGGAGGACACGTTCCTGCTACTGGACGCGCTCGAGGCGGCAGCAGCCGAGCTAGCAGGGTGCGAGGAGGGGCGCGCCTCAGCGGGCGAGAGTGGGTGTCCTGGAGGCTGAAGCCGGAACTTACCGCCCTCCTCCGGAAGTGAGGGGTCGGCCCCTTTTTGGTGATTGACAGCAAAGCAGGGTAAAGGAGGAGTTTTCCCGGTGTCGGGTTAGAGCATCGCTCAGGTCTTTCTCCGGCTGAAGAATGTAAACGTTCTTCTGAGGAACAGCCGGAGTTTATCGACCAGAAACATGATGTTCCAAAACTTTGCTGCTTTTCTATTTCAATTTTAATTTTTTTTCGTGAATATGTAAAGCTCTCGTAGGGTTATTTGAACGCCTTAGTGCATGAATAACATCCTCTGGCAACGGAAGAACACATATGGAGTAGTGAACTATTAAACCCGCTCAACCTATTTAAGGAACAGCCATTAGCCATCTGAGGGCTTAAAATGTTACTGCAACTGAGAAAGCGGATATTCATTCTCA